TGAGATAGAGCAGCAGAGAAAGAAGCAGTAGAAGATTATTATTATTATTCTTCAATTATAGATATATGCAGTCAGAGACTATAATATCTATCTAAGAATCTTTAGTTCTCAGAGTTTTTCCTATATCTATAGAGTCAACTATTATACATTTATCAATTTCAAATATGCAAAATCAGAAAATTCCAGCTCAGAATATAAAAACTGTTTATAAATTACAGTATTTCAACATCTTCTGATAGTTTGAAATCATTTGAAAATATTATGATAAAAGAAAAGAGAACATAGTCTTAAAGATAGACACATTAAATAGATAGAGAAAAGAACAGAAGAAAACAAGTACAGTAAAGAGAGCTACAGAACAAGATCTCTGCAGTTTACATCTTAAGCTATATACATATTTTAACACTCTATATAACTGATCACTGTCTCTGTTCTCTCAGGCCTGCTTCAGGGGTTATCATTCCCTCTAAAGGGCCGCCGCCCAGCTAGCTCCTGTAACTAGCTTATTCATAAGTGAGATTCTCACTAAGAATAACACCAGAGCTACTCAATTCTAGTTAAGTCTCTAATCTTCCAGCTGTCAATCTCAGCATTCCAGCCTATCAATTGGCTGTCACAGTCTTGCTTGTACTAATCATCTATTAAGGGTGCCTAGGCCTTGTCTCATCTAGGTTCTTGCTAGGCCTAGAGTGTTCTAATCAGATAGTTTTTAAATCTCATTCCCTGGAAGTGAGTGCCTAGAGTGAGAGGGATGAGACCTGGTCAGTTAAACTTGACAATGATTCACTATTCTGCGGGCATTCTAGATCTCAATCACTCTAGTACTGATCTAACTTGAAGTGCCTGAGAGACTGTTAATTCTAAGATCAGTGAGAATTAGCACCCAGGAACCCCTGGGATGAACATCTTAAGCTTGATAATGATTCACTATAGTGCATCTGTGAGCCCCTAGTACTGTTTTATAACTTAACAGTGGAAGCTGTGATTAAGATGGTCCTTGCAGGGTTCGAACCTGCCCTCTCTTGGCATTCATTCCCCGGGGGGAAGGCCGCTAATTGAGGCTCCATGATAGCGTAGTTAACCACTACGCCACCGGGCCAAGCAGTAGAAGAAGTAGAAAGAGATATAAAAGACCTGATTATATATAATACAGACAATTTCTTCATTATTGTATTTTTCAAGTTCTCAATTAATAATTTAACATTGACTTTACTATTATCAGTGAATACAGATCTGTTAATATGTGAAAATTCTATATAAATAAAAATAAATATATCAGCATCTGTGTTTATATAAAATTGTGTCAGAAAACATGATCAGAAACTCACTGAGAAAAAAAAACAGTTAAGAATATATAAGAAGATGAAGAAGATATGTCATTTATAATAATATATTCTGATAATTATTAGAAGATAAACAAGTTCTGATCATATACATTTCACAATATATTACACTTACTGTTAATAAACTGTCTGATATAAGTACTACAATGACACTTGTTATAAGAATGAGAGATTATTACTAGAAATATATACAATGTAATAGATAAATGAATAGAAGATGTTAAACAGAAGAAGAAGTAGTAATCTTAAATAAGATAATAATGATATTTAATAATGATGATGATAAAGAAGATGAATAAAGAATAAGAAAAGTTAGTGAATAAGTAATATAATATAGTAAAAGTTTCTTTATAAGAATGTACATAGAATACTAGTTAAATCAGAAATAGATTATAAGATTATAAATGCTAGTGACACACTAATCTGCATGAAGCTAGAACAGATGTTATAGTTATATAAGTATAACTGAATCTGATGAGAGAGAATGTGATTCAGAAGAATGTATAACTATCAGATAATAACACAGCTGCTTCTGAACTTGCTTATAAGTGTAAAGAGGTCATAGCAGCCACTAATTAATTTAGCATATAATATATAAGAAGCCGGCGTACACCTGTAATCGTACACTGACTTAAGTAATTTTTGAATCACAAAGTTAAGCTCTGCTGAATACAACTATAAAATCTATGATAAGAAACTTCTTATAATTATATACTATCTAGAGAAATGAAACTCTGAACTCTGAAGTGTCTTCAAATTTGAGATAATTATAGATTATAAGAATCTCAAATACTTCACTATTATCTATAAGCTTACTGAATGATACATGCAATAATTGAAGCTATTAAGCTGTTTTCATTTCACTATACACTATTATCTCAGCAGTCAGAACTTGATGACAGATACTCTCTTATAATAAGAGTAAGATATACCTTTCAATATAACAGATATCTGTTAAATGAACTCAGAACATCAGCTTTTAGATTCAAAGATATTAGTTAATCAAGATGAAATAACTTATAATATTATATATACTTCTCTGATTAGAACACTCTCTCTCTGAACTATCACTGACACTGATACTAATACTGATATTAACACTAATATCTCAACTTCTTCTGAATCTACACTGAATAAATTATAGTATATAACAGCTTAAACTGATAAACTTCTTCAAACACTTACAGAAGTAGTATATCAAGAAGTATTCTAATTTTTCTCAGAACTATATATAAGAACTGATACCTTATAATACTCAATTAATAATAATAATACTTTACAGTTCTGTGAACAATGTTGAGTCTCTTACTCTGACACTTACACACTCAGATAATGTAAGAGATACATGATTTATATATAATCAGTCACTTAGATTATGAATAATTATACTGAATAATCTCTTAAGAGTTCTACTGATCTGAGATATTAAATAGTATCAGATATTTTATTTAAAACTATAATTATTATTCTTCTATTATCTTATGAAAGAACTGTAGAAAAGATCTACTGAAATCACTTAATATTTCTAATAGAATCTGATAAGATATAGTAATTAACTTTACTATTAATCTTTCTGAGAGTAAGAGTTATAGAAATATTCTAATCATTGTGAACTGATTAAGTAAAGATATAATATTAAAATCTTGTAATAAAATGAATATTAAATAAGTCACTGATACTTTTCTACAGAGCTTATTCTATCAGATATATAAATTACTGAGATCTATAGTATCAGATTAAAACTGTTAATTTATAAGTACTCTCTGAATAAGAATATATCAAGTTCTTAAGATTATACACTGTTTATTAACTATCTATCACTCTGAGACTGATAGTGTATCAGAATGAATAATTCAGATTATAAAGAATTATCTTTATAAGTTCTATAATTACTTATAAAATAATTGATATAATTTTCTTCTATATACAGAGATTGCTATTAACAGCTGAGATACTATTTTAACAGATATAAGCTTATTCTTTCTTATATATAGTTATTATATAAAAGTATTAAATCTTCTAAAAATTATACATTTCATACTGAACTTTTATAGTTTAATTCAGATCACTGATAATATAGTAATAAAACTCTGAGATATCTATAACTGAGTAGAGATCTTTATAATAACTATAAAATATAATTAAGAGAATTAAATTAATATTCACTGAGATCTCACTGAGTAATATAAGATAGAAGACTTAATATAATTGAATTTCAAGAATATATAAATTATATATTTATCTTATATACTGAATTATCATTATATTAAGTATAAAGTGATAGAAGTTCTAGATAGTTATAACTACTATTTTAACATATTATCAGAGATTTACAATGTCTTTTATACAAGCTTGTTTTACTATACTATCACTGATTCATTCTCTTCTTAACTAATTTCTGACTGACAGCTGTCAGAAATTATAAAAGAAGATAATAAACTTAAATAAGAGATTAAAGATATTCTTGATAAGAGATCTCACAGCTGCAGTTAATAATATCTTATAAAATAAGTTAACTATAATTAAACTGACCGTGTGACCGTGTCTGAAACCAGGATCAGAATTTTTGTTAGTTTTATTATTAATTCAACAGATCTCATTACACAGTTCTAACATTAGATAGTAGTTTCATACTGTCTCAGTGAGACTTACTGTCTACTCTTATCACATTTTTCAAATGAGATTATGATTTTCACTTCTCAATTTAAATTATTTTTATTGCTTTAAATGACTTTAAATCTCATTTAAGTATTATCAAAAAGTGTTACTTTTTAAAAAATTAAAAATAGTCTAAAAAAAACCTTAAAATGTCTAAAAATAGTAACTTTATGCTAAGAATGAGACTAAATGAAATCAAATGAGATCACTTTCTCATTTTTTTCAAGTCATGATTTCATTTTGAGATCTGATATATAGTCACTTTGCATGTTTATTTAATAATTAGTCTCAGTGAGATTCATGCCAAGAAATGTATAAGATCAGATCAAATGAGATTAAATATGAAATTCATAATCTCAGTAATCAGTTTAACTATAATTATCTGATCTGAACTCTGAGTTCTGTATTATCTGAGATCACAGTTCTTAACTGATGAGAACTATATATAATTAAAAAAAAGAGAAGTTAATATAATAAGCTGCACTTAATCATTATATAAACTATTTTATTACACTTTATAGATTTCACTGAAAGCTCTAATTCTCAGTCATTCTCAATCACTAATTCTTGACTGAAAAACTTATGAAATTTCTATTCTTTCACTCTAAAGCTCTATCATGTACACACTATACTATGTATATGTATAAATATTTACTTTGATTATTAATTCTTATACTTTCTCTTTCTTTTCCTTCTTTAACATTTTTCACTTTGTTATATAAGATCTATATATATTATACTGATTTATTCAGTGTAGACCTCTTATAAAACTGTATTTAAAATTTCAAGCTTGAACTTAATTACTTTCTATAGTTATCTAGTCTGAGTATAAAGAATTAACAGAACTTCTTCATTCATCTCAATTAGACACTGTTTTTCAAGAATTTTACTGACTTTTTCAAGTTCTTTAATTTCAAGAACTTGTTATTTCTCTATTTCTTCTTACTTTCTTCTCTTCAGAATTTATATTTTATAGAATAAAATAGAACTGAAATTAATATTAACATATTACACAGATAAAGATTCTAATCAATTAATTTTACAATCTTATATTTACTGAAAAACAGAAATCAAAAGAGAAAAAGAGAACAGAGATAGAGAACAGAACAGAAAAAGAGAAAAACTTAAAAATTCAGATTACTCTTCAGAAAGAACTAAGTAGTTGTTCAGAGATAATAAGAAAGTTAAGTAGAGAGACTAAAGTTCAATCTAGATAAGAGCTGTCTGAATGTTTTAAAGTAAAACTAGAAGAGACAAAGCTGCACGAATATGAAACATATTTTATATGAATTCCAATAGAAGCTACTATAGCAAGTTTCAAGTAGTGTGAAGAAAAGCCCAATCATTATTATACCACTGCTCACCCAGTGAACCTTTGATCAAGCCAGAAACCCCACTATAGACGCGAGCCTGATGCAATTCATTATTGACGTCATACCTAATGTGTGCGTGTGAACGGCACGGCGCGGATAGATAGGCATTGGATCTGTACTCAAGAGAGGAGGATGGGCGATACTCTCAGACTTTTCAGTTTGGACCTCGAGGAATTTTATTATCAACTATCACAAGAGTAAACATCGACAGCAATTCTCAGTTTTTTGAAAGAATCTGAGCCTCTTCTCCCACATCTTCAATTGGGGCTGCGAAGCTCCATTGTGCGTCCTGAAACTCAGTTGGATCAGATTCGGACGATGAATCGGAGTCGATCGACACAACTGTGGAAACGGACACTGACACCTTTTGAGATGATGAAATTTGTTGAAACTCTTCCTTCAAAAGCATTGCGTTCGCAGTCTCAACAAATTCATCTCTTCTTTCCTTTGCCCAGTCTCTGGCATTTCGATACCATGTGGCACCCTGTTGAAAGGTTCCTAAATTACCAGTCATAGACCAGCTATTGAGTTGGGTCATAATATATTCAGGTTCATGCCGAGCACCAACAGTTTTGATCGGATGGGACGTGTAAAGCTTTAGGGTGCCGTCATGATAGGTTGATGCTATGGTATACGCATTGCTGTCGTAGGCTAACTCGCTATTTCCATATGACTGAATATTTTGCATGGCCCGAGCACCCAGTGCAGCATCATAGCAAGCCTGTCTTTTAGCGACTGCCGCAGACTGGTCCGATGACTTCACCTCTAGATAGAAGTTTGGTAGTATCGGACGACTATCCTGTGTCGAAGGGACGATGGTGTCGTGAAGATTGCAGCGGATTTGTCTGTCAAGTTGTTCGGGTCGAGCACCAAAAAAACGATCCGGCCAGGCACTTGAGATTGTACCATCAGTTAAGGGCTTCAGGTTCCCGAATGGATATCCTCCTCCCACAGCCTTACGATCTGTAATACCGCCTTCAATGGTAGGAATTACCGAGTTTGTTAGTAGCTCAACGGTTGCATCCGTGTTCGCCTCCTTAAATTTCTCAAATTCCTCCTCGGTGAACCTCGAAGGGGACAGGGAACCTCGTGGCCGATCTAGTTGCTGATTGATCACTGTCCAATTTTTCGGCTTCCCCGGTTTTTGACCGCTGGGATATCTATATCCTTCGGGGTAGATGCCATGATCGATCAGATGCTGCTCAAAGTTACGACTATAAGTCCCGCCGCTGCGTGAGGATCGCTTGTTAGAGGATGGAGCGGTTGTTGATGGGCGTCGTTTGTTCAGGGAGGGCTGGCTTGAATCTATCCTCCGATTGAGAGGGCTTCTATATTGTGGAAACTAGACAGAGACACATTAGGATTGAGTTTGTACGGAGTACGTAGTCATTACATACATTTCTGAGGTCAGAAAGATCTGGGCCACCGTGTTTCGAAAGCTCTTTTATCTCTTTGAAAAGATCCGGCCCACATGAACTAAGGAAATCTGCAGCGTACTGAACGAGATGCCTGCTTTGTAGTTTGGAGTAAAACTGTCTGGTGAGTCGCCTCTTAGACCTCCGGTGCTCTCGACAAGGCGTGTACTTATCATACACAGAGTTCCTTCGATCTAATTCTGTCAGTGTCCCTTTTGTCAACCAAATCGTGGATAGGTTGTCCCAAAACTCTGGGGCCGGTCGTCGAGTTCCCGCTCTACCGGTCGGATCGCGTTTCTGCCTCTTTGTGTCTGGTTCAAGTTGCGATATAATACTTCGTTCCGAAAATTGCTCTGCATGCTGGCGCTTGGGTCGCGAACAGGGCAGTTGTGTCACAGACATATGGCAATGCTCGCGGGCAACTTCACCTACGATAGTGGGGGGTGTTTGCAGGGAATAAAACTAGCTGAGTGATGGTTGGCTGCAGTTCAGCGGCAGCTGAGTCAGACTTTGCATTGACATTGCTATATGTTCCCCCAGTCTTGGCACTCTTTTTGTGTTCGCAAGCATTGCGTCCGCCACAATAACTGATCTCATCCGCCGCCTGGGGTAACCTTCGGAACATCACATCAAAATAGGAGCCCAGCGGAGTCTCTCCAACAAACTTTTACCACTTTATCCTCCCTTAAATACATACGTCCACCGACTGTCCCTCTTTTAGTGTCCTTCAACAATCAATGAGTCTTCGACATCCGCCGCTCGCCCAAAGTACATGACAAACGCAAGATGAGCGGGAGACTCCTCTCCCACGGCACTGCCGTGCTAGCTAGGAGAAGCCTTCTAGCTCGCCAACTGCACAATGTCGGAGCGAGGACGGGCGGTCTGCTGCGTTCGTCCCAGGGCGGCGCTGTTGGTATCCGCGGGAGGTCACGGCCACTGCGCGCGAACTGGATTCACAACGTCCCCGCCGTCCGCACTTTCTCCTTTGCCCGCGCCCTCCCCAAGTTGGCTCTGAAGTTCGTTAGGATACCCGCCATGTTTGGCGGTGCTATGGTTGCAGGTCTCGCATATATTCAATATCAGGCTGCTCGTACGTTTTTCTAAAAACCCATTTCGCTCTTTGTTTTATCGGAATTCCAATTATTTGGTTTCTCCAGATTGCGGGATTTGTTGCTTACTCCTTTCTTTTGCCCTTTTTTTCTTTAGAGGCCGGGAATTACGCCATGGATGTTATTCGACAAGCCGGCGACACTGCGGGCGGGGTTGGCTTGTCCATTTTAAACAATATCCAGGATATCGCTGAACAAACGAATCGTGGGTGGCAAAGAACGAAAGAAGAGATCGAGTTGCCTGAATGGGCGCAGAAGGTTCTCCGGCTCAAAGAACAGTCAGAATCCGGGGGTGGAGGGTCGTCGGGCGGTGGCGGACGTGGTTCTCCAAAGGAGAGTAGGGTGGGTGCGGCTGTGGTGGCGGGTACTGCAGCAGGTGCCGGACTCGGTCATGACTCTGACGACGACCTTGGATCTAACAAGATGAATGCGATCGATGACCAGATGATGATATTGACGAGAAAGATGATCGAAATCAGAAGTATTTTACAACGTATCGGCCAGTCCAACGCGTTAACCTTGCCATCGATTGTGGTGATCGGGTCTCAATCTTCTGGTAAAAGTTCTGTACTGGAGGCTATTGTGGGCCATGAGTTCCTCCCCAAGGGCTCGAATATGGTAACAAGGCGGCCGATTGAGCTAACCCTTGTTAATACGCCAAATTCACAAACAGAGTATGGTGAATTTCCAGCCCTTGGGCTTGGGAAAATGACAGACTTTGGCCAAATTCAACGCACGTTGACCGATCTCAACCTTGCGGTTTCGGAAAGGGACTGCGTGTCAGACGACCCGATCCAACTTTCTATTTATTCTCCTCACATCCCTGACCTGTCGCTCATCGATCTACCCGGCTATATCCAGGTTGCCGGGCGTGACCAACCCCCAGAGCTTAAACAGAAGATCTCCGATTTATGTGACAAGTACATCCAAGCGCCCAATATCATTCTTGCTATCTCCGCAGCAGACGTAGACTTAGCCAATTCTACAGCCCTTAGAGCGTCGCGACGGGTCGACCCTCGCGGGGAACGAACTATTGGTGTTGTCACAAAAATGGACCTGGTTGATCCGGAGAGAGGAGCAAGTATACTTTCTGATAGCAAATATCCTCTCCGGTTAGGCTATGTAGGAGTCGTTTCTCGCATTCCTCATACAGCGGGACTATTTTCCCGAGGAACTGGGAATATTACGAATGCCATTGTCAAGAACGAAAATGCTTTTTTTGGCAGCCACCCACAAGAATTTGGTGCAGACTCTGAACTCGCTGTTGGAACTACGACACTACGGAAGAGGTTGATGCATACCCTGGAGCAATCAATGGCTTCAAGCCTAACCGGAACTCGCGATGCTATTCTCCAGGAGCTTGAAGAAGCAACGTACGAATTCAAGGTCCAGTACAATGATCGTCCATTGAGCGCAGAGTCCTATCTCGCAGAGAGCCTGGACAGCTTCAAGCATTCATTCAAGGAGTTTAGCGAGAGTTTCGGTCGTCCTCAGGTTCGTGAATTACTGAAAAGCGAACTCGACCAGAGGGTTCTTGATATTCTCGCGCAGAGATACTGGAATAAACCCGTTGATGACCTTTCTCCACCCGTACCGGAACCTGACCCTCTCTCCGATCTTCCAAAAGCAGACCCTGAGTCTCTCTATTGGCACCGCAAACTGGATGCATCTTCATCCGCCCTTACAAAATTAGGGATAGGCCGCCTAGCGACAACGATAGTGGCCAATGCGTTACAAAACCGCGTCGATGACCTTATTGCCGCTTCTACGTTTGCGTCTCACCCATACGCACAAAAGGCCATAGCGGATGCGACGGTCACCATTCTCAATGACCGATTCTTCAGCACAAGTGATCAAGTTGAGAATTGCATCAAGCCATACAAGTTTGAAATAGAAGTGGATGATCTAGAGTGGGTCAAGGGACGGGAAAGCATTAGCAATGTGCTGAAAGAAGAGCTCAAAGCATGTGGCCATGCCCTGAAGCATGTGGAAGATAATATAGGAAAGAGGAAGCTAAAGGATGTCATGACTTTCATCGATAAAGTGCGGAAAGGAGATACGTCTGTTGAGGGAGATGGTTCTGGTGGTGCTGGTGGATTTAGTGCCGCGTTGCTGCAAAAAGGTTAGTTCCTCTCCCGTTTTCTTTTCCCAATCCCTCTACCTGTGTATACTTGCTTCTGACAAAGCTATACCTATCTAACGCCGCTTCAAACTTGCGCAGGCCGAGAAGCCGTCTTCCTCCGTGACCGCGCAGATCTAATCAAAATGCGCCTCCTCGCCGTCCGCTCCAAGCAATGCGCTTCCAAAAAGAACAAATACCACTGCCCGGAAGTCTTCCTCGATGTGGTCGCAGACAAACTAACCGCCACCGCTGTCCTCTTCCTGAACGTCGAACTCCTCTCCGAATTCTACTACAATTTCCCCCGCGAGCTCGATCTCCGACTCGGGCGCCATCTCTCCACCTCTGAAATCGAACGTTTCGCACGCGAAGACCCGCGCATCCGCCGACATCTGGATGTCATTAAAAAGAAAGAGATGCTTGAGCTGGTGCTGGAGAAGATTGAGAGTTTAAGGCAGTTAGAAGGACGGAGTAAAGCGTCTGGGCAACAGGTTTCTGCCGCGAAGGAGCGGTCAAAGGGGTGGCGGCTGTTCTGAGAGAGATATTCCTTTACTTCATTTTCCTTTCCCATTTCTTGACTTTTTGTTGGTTTGGCTTGATGTTTATCTCTCTCCCCTGGGACCCCAGCCCTAGCCCACCAAAACACAACGCTGTATTCTTCTCACACTGATTCGGTTTTTCTCCTTATCTTCTTTATTGTTCTCCCACTTCTTCTAAGATTTTACATCATATACCAGGATATTCAGAATTGGGCTGGCGTCGAGATTAGGAGGGTTGTTAATTCAGGAGGGTTGTCCCCCCTTTTGCCTGTGCTTTTTGTCTAAATTTAATCATACTATTCTTTGTACAGTACACATGCATGTACCAGGACTTGTCCCCTTGTGATTTTGCTTTCTTAATGAATGTTGTGCGTGTGACTTCCCTTTAGTGCATGTTCCGACGATTTTCGATGATGCATTCTTGCATTTCCACATCTCCGTTCATTCCAATGTGAGAGCTATTGCACAGGTTTCATCTAATAAAAGAAAAGAAAAAGAAAAAGAAAAAGAAAAAGAAATCACTAATTATATTGTAATGTACAGTACATGTTAGGCCCTCTTCTTCTAAGCCGACAATGTTTTTTCTTTCACGATATAAATCTTCGATATGCCAGTTGATATGCCAGGCACCTACCTCGAATGACTGGCGGAAGGATGCCCTTTCGTAGTAAAAAATAGAGAAACCGTCAGTTCATTTGTAAAAATACAAAATTCCCTGTTCTCAAAACATGGTCCCAGATAGGAAAACAGAATACGGGCAAAAACGGCCGCCGAAATGAGGCAAAGGCAGTAGATCGAAATAAAAACAAAAATAAGAACGCCCCCATCCCATATATTAACACACGCACACAAAAAAAAAAGTGAAAGCCCTGTCCACCCCAACCCATCTTATCCCTGCCACCAAATTCACCTCCGCAAACTTGAAAACGGAACTCGAACCCCCAGATCATCCCCAATCAACTGCCTCGTCTGATTCCACTCCACCCTGCCACTCACATCCTTAATCTCCTCCAGCTTGTCTCCCAGCTTCACGACGGAGAAGCGGATCATACGGGGATCGAGGCCGAGGGTTCTGCGCACGGACTGCTGCACGGCCGACGACGAGTCGAAGCGCATTATGAAGTGGTGGCCTGTGGAGTACTTTGTCTGGTGTTTGGTGATGGGGCGGGGGAGGCGAAAGGGACCCCAGTTTGTTAGGCCGCGGATTACGCCGCCGGAGTAGAGGATTTGGAGGCCCGTTACGCGTGCGATTCTATGTGTTTTGGTTAGTTGAAAGAAAAAAAAATGAAAAAAATTGGAAGGGATGTTTCTGTTTCTGGCTCTTCGGGGGGGTGTTGCGTGTCTGTTGCGTTTTGTGCAGAGAGAGCGGCATCTGTTCTGGATTGTATGATGCGTAGTAGGTCCGGGAAATTGGGATCGCGGGCAGGAATTGCTGAGATAGGACGGGATATAAATTACGTACTCTCTAACCTCCTGGACGCTGCCCGGGCGGACCTGTTGAATTTGCGTTAGTCTGATGGCAGAGTACAGAGTGAGGAGAATATAATAGCATACCACCGCAATCAGCTCATACAACATCCCCAGCAGCTGTGTCGTGAGCAGCCTTCAGCCAGGAGGGATCAAAGAAACCAAATAGATCTGCGCGGTGGGCGGTGGTCGTGGCGAATAGTATATAACTTATATCCAGAGACCTCTTGTATATAGACAATAGTCTGTCCGTCGTGGAAGTCTCAGCCGCGGGAGACAAAAAACCTCTTTCGGGAAATTTTGAAGCTGGCGGTGTTGGGGTTTAGCCGCAATTGTGGCGCTGGTATCAGGCAATACACAGCTTGCCTGCTTCGGGCGGGAAACCAGCGCTTTTGGCCGGGTAAGAGCTGGAAAATGACGGTACAGTACATCGATGGGACGCGCCCGAACCCGGGGCTTTGCTTATCTCAGCCTCCGCGCACATCCAAGAGTTACCGAGTTACTTGCTGTACATACATCCATTATTATTGTTTGCGCTCAACTTACATCAAATTCCTTCTCGACTGCCCTGGCCAATTGCTGCTCTATTGTTCTTAATCTCCTGCGTTGTTGCCGTACTGTTCTAGTTCCCCCGCTCACAATGTCTGCTGCTGCTGCTGCTGTCCGCACTCTCAACCCGCTCCGGACCAGGCTCTGGGCTGCCCAAAGAGTCTCCTCCCCAGCTCTCCGCACCGCATATATCTCCCGCCCCGCCTTTCGGGATTGCAGAAGAGGATTCTCGCAGAGCTCCCTATGTAAGTGACGATATGCCCATTGGATACAATTGCATTGTTTTTAATTGTTTGTTCCGGTGAAAACCAATTCCCACTGGATATAAGACGCTGACTGACGTTGTTTTGTACAGGGCAAGCGAAGAAGTATACCGAACAGCATGAGTGGATTGAGCTGGCTGGGGATGGAAAGACCGGTTAGATATCTCTTTCTTTTTTTCTCTCTTGGATTTGTTATAATTCGTTATTTATTATACAATTGGATATTTTGTCCTTCCAATCTACGCCATATGCTAGATCCAAGAACCAAACCACCGTTGACAAGAAAACATATCTCTAACTAACAACGCAAATGCCCCAAACCAACAGCCACAATCGGTATAACCGAATACGCCGCCAACGCCCTAGGCGACGTCGTCTTCGCTGAGCTGCCCACCGTGGACACCGAAGTTGCTTCAGGCGAGACCATCGGTGCCGTCGAGTCCGTCAAGTCCGCCTCAGACATCCTCTCCCCTGTGACCGGCAAGATCATCGAGGCCAACACGAAGCTGGAGGAGTCGCCCAAGATCATCAACGAGAGCCCCGAAGATAAGGGCTGGTTTGCCAAGATTGAGCTGTCGGATCCGACTGAGTTGGACGGCTTGATGGAGAAGAAGGAGTATCAGGCTAGGGTGGAGGAGGAGGCTGAGTAAAGAAATGATTTGGATTTCCCCAAGAGGGGGTTCACATTTTTGCCATATTTTGTTAAATCATGTTTTTTATGATGTCGGCTTGGGTTGTTTATGGGTGATGGGGATCTTCTACCGTTTGACTTTGTTGTCTTTTTTTTTTCTCCCGCCCTAACCTTCCATGTTGCGATATGTATATCTGCTTATCTACTGATGTTTCAACATGTCAGGGTTGTGATTTCCACTGCGTTATGTGCTCAAAGTCACCAACACATCCTTGTGCTCCTATTAGATCCAATCGGGAAAGTGAAGACAATAGATGGAACAGAACTAAGGGGCAACCTGCGACTTCTTATATATATATATATCTTTCAGATCCTCACGAGGAGACGAAGGAAAATAAATGTCTGTTCATCAATCAGATATCAATGCAATTGATCTAAAATTTCCAGACCCAAATCAGTACCCAAATGCAAACCCATGAAATTCTATACCTTTGCATTGAGTACAAACACAATCAAACACCACAAGATGATCCGATGGCAAAAAGAAACGAGGAAAAAAAGAAAGCAGAACAAATTTACTGTACAGAGAGAGCGTTTCCGAGCACCAAAAAAGCGAAAATGACAGAACATAAAATATAACACGCTCAAATGGGAGGCAGGTTCTCTCGACAAATCGGACACTGTAGCCGTAACCGCATCCAGCTCTCCAAACACGTACTGTGAAAGATGTGCCGGCATGGCGTGACCATATAAGCACGCCGGCTGAGCAGGTTTGCAGCCCCTTCTGCTACGCTGGTTGGTGCAACGCCCGTACTACCGCCCGGCACCCCGAGGACGGGTACTTCAATATCTTGCATGCAGATAGCACAGTCGAAGCGCCTGCTTTTACGATCCTTGCCACCATTATTGTTATTAGTGTTATTGTGGTCCGGGCTACTTTTGTCGTCGTCTTTTGCGCTGGATGGTGCGGCGGAATGACTTTCTTCGCCTCGGAGGAACCCGATTGGCAAGACACCTGCAGCCTCGATGTCTTCGCTGGAACCTGAGGCAGAGGTATCTCTGAGAATCGGGTGGTAATCGTAGGCTGGCGGTGCCCAGCCGTGGGGGACGAAAAAGCGTGGACCTAGGAGGTCCTGCGCAGCGAGAACCACTGTTTGCATCCACACCCAGGCTACGATGCCAAGCGTAAACATGGAACCTGGTTTGATGAATAGGACATTGCCCGGGAGGGCGTAGAAGTAGAGAAAAGGGAATATTCGAATGAGGCTTTGGCCCACGACAAATTCCCAGGTAAGGGCCTTGCGGCAGTTTCGCATTACATTGCGATATATTTGCGGTATCCAAAAAGAAAGGTAGATGAAGGATACACCTTGGCCATACATCCGGATGAGGCGGGTTGGCCAGAATAATGTCCACGAGGAGAAGAAGAGGAGACAGAAGAGAGTGAAATAGAATCGAGAGTACATTGCCCCCGTGTCATTAGTCCCTGAATCACTGGTTGCTTGGGGTGCTGTAGTGCCAGTGGTTGTGTCTTCAGGTTCATCCTGATCTGGTGGTAGTATGATGATAGTTGTGGCGCCCGTATCAACGGAGAGAGGCGCTGTTGCTGGTGCTGGGAGAGGTTGTGGTGGCCCAGATGGGGCTCGAGCAGACGCTGATCGACCGGCTTCCCTGCGTTCAGGGGCTTGAACAACCCACACTTCTATCTGAAATTTCATTGCCAAGAAACTGACAGAGAAGAACGCTAAAAATGTAGCTCCGGTAAGAAGCAGGAACGGGGCTTCATCGTATAACTGCATCAGGATAAATGAACCAAACAGAGCGTCGCCCATAGACATCATAGCGATTGTGTAAAAGCTGACTCTGCTCCTGGTTGACGGGGTGGAGGCCTCTTTCATCTGTCTCATCAAAAGGTGAATCTGAGTGCAAAGAACTGCCGCCATAATTACGACTAGCCGTCCAGCATGTTTCCGGTATTGTTCCTGCTTTGGGCCAGAAAGGTAGAGTCCGTCAGAAGGGGAGTAAGCTGGTGATCCCTTGCTTTCCAGCACGAATCCACAATCAGGGGAAAACAGCGTCATGGACATCGTAATCAATGGCGCAGGTGGCACTGGGGCACCCACGGGGAAACGCAGTTCGTCTTCGATCGATTGTAGTAAAGGACGTCGAGCTATTTGCCCATTTATTACCAACGGGTGTTGCTGAAGATACACGACATACTCACACTTGGGTGCCGGAAATGTCATGGTGCTTGGGCCATGGGGAAGAGACGACCAGGGCAGATAATCTACAGGTCCTGTTTTCTTTTCGGCCAAGGTTTCGGTCAGTGACCTGTTCAGCAGCAGGCGAGAGAGCTCGAATGTATCATTCGAAAGAGCGAATTGTGGCATTGCTGACAACCCCGCGAACTTTTCACTGGTAGTGCTAAGAAGCATTCCACCCGATGATGGAAAATGCACACCGAAGAGCCGTACGTAATGGTTGGCTCCCAGCGACGCATCCGTGTATAGTGTCATATCTGCTTTTATCTCCCTGGCAGTTGAGCCGGCCAAGGCAAGCCCCTCCCTATCCTCCTCCTGTAACTCTATCAAGAGGGTGCCATGGTCTGTAGTAATATTATTCGCGAATGTGGTGGTAAAATAATCATGCCGCAGCATGATTGCAGTGGTATTCAGCTGCGGGAGGTTTGCCGTCTCTGGACCCTGCCAGCGCACCCAGTCGCCCCGGACCTTCCCGGTAACATTATGATATACGGGAATCTGTAGGTCTGAGGTATTCAGGTCCGACCGAAGTGGATGCGTCTGCCATTCGATCGGTTGTTCGCTCAGCAAGCCGGAGTGTTGGAGGATCGAGTACAGCTGGTTCCGGGCGCGGTCCTTTACCACAGGAAGTAGCCCCCATGCATAGCCATCATCCTTGGTCAGGCCTCCCACAGGAAGCCAGCGACCCGCAGCGCTGTCCAAGTCACCATATCTCGAGCTATTAAGGAGCGACAGAGCCCGCTGTTCCTCCGTCTTCTGCTGGTGGCGCTCTCGCTCGAAACTAAAGGGGGGAGGGCGTGGTTCTGGAGCAGATAGCAGGAAGAACAGGAGCACGAAGAAGAGAAGCGCGCGGCGGTTTTCCATGGACCAGAGGTGATTGAGCCATAGGAGCTCAACCGTATGCGAGTATAAGGGCCATTACCAGAGTCGGGCTCCGGCTGGTTGGTTATTTCCTCGTTTTCCTCGTTCAAAGAGTAGGGAGTTTGGGTTTGTCGTAGCTGTACAGACTCTCTACAGTAGATGTGGTTGGAGTTGGTTGCGGCTGTCAGCTGGCGGCAGCGGCAAAAGGCCAAGAGCGGCTGGCGGCTGACTTTCGGCTGTGGACCTTGGAACAGCAACAACAAGCGGCCAGGACCAGATCTCGGTCTATTTACTTAACCTGGGCATGCGGAGTAAAACAGCCTGGATGATAAATATCCGGAGCACGTACATGTACGACCCCCCTTGTTACGATGGAAGGTCAGGATAAATAAATACTGCCATTTACCTCAGACAGAAGCTTTCCAACCTCGCAAATTATAGCCTCCTCTCCTCCCTACTTAACGAAGCTGCCCCGTGGCTTGATACCCTGATTAGCCATGGCGGACACTCTGCCGCTGCCGATCCCTCCTCGAACTCCCACGCCGCCCTCAGGCGACCCTTATTCGGGTCCAGAGAGCTTTATGGTGATGTCATCAATGAAGAGCTATGATCGGAATACCTTGTCGCCAATGGTGAACACTTTCTCAGCTTCTGGGACTCTAGGTGATTAATCTGATACCCGACCCGCGTTAAACTACTCATCCATTGCGCACTTGCTAAACTCTCTGATTCTTTAGACTCGTCCCAGAACTCGGCCATGGGTTCTGCGGAAAACATGCAAGGACCTTTTAATTTCAAACCGACCGCTCTCGCGAAGAGCCCTATAACAAAATCGGTATGGCAACCCTAATAGAAATTCCAGGTGCGCCCGAACATGATAACTAACTATATAATGTCCCAATTGAAAAAAAGAATGTGGGCCAGAGACGGGGACACAAGTATAAACATAGCAGCGTATCCCACCAGATATTCTTAGAGCCCCCGCCTAGGTCGCCGATGCCCTTACCGAACTCCCTGCCAATCCCAACATGGGGAGAATGTCTGGGGAGCATGTCAAATGACCAGAGAATCCGGTTTTGGTGGAGCGTATGCCACATGGTGGTGGCTGGTTATACGCTGTGGACCGCCCATGGCTCTATGGCCATGACCGGGCTATCACATCTTATACTCTTCGACTCACTGGGCGCCATGCTCTGCGTAGTCGTTGACATACTTGGAAACTTTGAGGTGTGGAAACGGTCGAGTATTCGTCATCCTTTCGGCCTGGAGCGCGCGGAAGTCGTTGCAGGGTTTGCTCTATCCGTGCTACTATTCTTCATGGGGGGAGATCTAATTTCGCATACGGTCCAACATTTGCTGCAAAATTCAGGGCACGAGCCCCATCATTCCCACTCTCACCCGCGAGTTTCACCGGGGAGCGTCGATATCACGGCTCTACTGGCGATAACGGCTACATTGATATCCGCGATCGCTTTGAAAAACCACGCAAGGATTGGCAAAGCTATCCGTTTTGCCTACATCGAATCCCTACCTTCTATCCTTAGCAACCCGGCTCACTTCCTGACGCTTTCATGCTCAACGATTCTCCTCTTGCTTCCGCTATTGTCCGTGCAAATGTATCTATGGTTGGATCGAATCCTCTCTTTCACCGTTGCCATCTCCATGTGCGTTTTTGGCGTTCGTCTAGTTAAAACACTTGGATCCATGCTTCTGATGTCGTACTCTGGCTCCGGAACTTCTGATGTTCTGAGAGACATTTCCAGCCACCCAGCTGTGTCGGAGATTGAAGAGGCAAAATTCTGGCAGGTCCACTACGGTCTGTGCATAGCATGTATCAAACTACGAGTGGCTGGCTCAGAGGAAAGCTTGGCCAGATTGCGAGAGAGGATAATCAGCATGATAAAAAATCGATTAGGGGGCGGGTACGGTGCAGGTGGCCAGAAATGGGAAGTGTCTGTACAGTTTACGGTTGAGCAGGGTTAAAGTGGATAGATATATTTATAACTTGATACATATACCCCATTAATGTTTTGCAAGCTGATGATAATAGGAATAGCTCAATTTTTTCCATATATTTTTCTTGTCTTCATAACTTCCTTCTTGTTCTCTATCTCCAGCACTGGTTAACTGTCTTTTCCTGGGTTAAATCAAGCTGGGTTGCTACCCCCTTAGTATTTTATTCGGAGAATAACATATCCTCCATCTAATACGCATGCCTTCCTGGTAATTTGTATACAGAAGCCCCCGTTTCGACAAGTTTATCAATCCATCCATAAGCTCGTGGCCTTTTTCGGATAAATAATATTATCAATGACTCCCGTGCTGGATTGTATCAACCAGCTTTTCCGCAGCGCTACCAGTCCCACACGCGCCTCTGGCTTGAAGATGACCCTCGTAGCCCAGAATTATTTACTGGGCGACCTCATGGTGTGAAACGAACGCCCTAAATGAACCACAGACGAGGACCACCCCGCCCACAAGCAGAGGAGAAGTAAGTGGCTGCAAACGTCAATGAATATTTGCCTTGCTTCAATTGATTTTGGCTTTCTTTGCTGGCTATGTACATACGCAATATCTCAATGATTTCTGATCAATCTTTGAATACCAACAGCTTGGACCACCAAAGACTAAAAGACTGAAAAGTTCTGAATAACAGGTAGATTGTTTATTGTAGAAAAAATGATGAATGAATCCCCAGAGTAATAAAACTGATAACAGTGAAAGTCTTTTTTCTTTATACAGCTTTCATATATATTCCATCTCGGTTGTATCGCTAGAAAAGGATACCCAGTATATTGAATTTATCGTAGTCGTTCGAATCCCTCCCTCACCTCAAGCCATCCTAGGGTCGAGCGATATGCTAGTGCTCGCCCAAATTGCTCACGACAAGCTCGCTAAGACACCTATCTCTTCAGTCCTTCAAAGCACCGCGCCGCCCTCCGCAGCCTCCCTCTCTGCTCTCCTTTGTCTCTTTTCTAGGAGACTATTTTTCCGTTCAGCCAAGATGGCCATTTGTCTGCTGTCAACGCCCTCGAGCCAATATCCGAAACTGCCCCCAACTGTCGCGAAGAGAGGATACACCCATAGTGCTTGTTTTTGGAAAAGAGGGCGCATTTCGATACCGAGTTGCCAAAAGCGAACGGCAATGCCTGTAGAGTTCGGTTCGCCAGTTAGTAGGTATTTCTTTCGCGGGATATATCCCACTTTAAGGGAAATAGAAAATGGACAGCTGCAGTGTCCCTGGAATTGCTAGACTTCCGGAGAAAAAACAAGCCATAGCCAGTTTTCCCTCCCCAAGCAAGGGGCCGACATACCGAAGCCGCTCCAGAACAGGACTTTGTGAAGAGGCATGGTTGAATGTTATTCGGGATCGATGGGGCGCGATGCCAGGGGTTGGCTCGAATTTGTGGGCGCAGAGCCGGATGGAATGTGCCGTGGACAGGTGTCTGGGGTGTATGCGCGCCTCACGACTCGTTATTAAAGAATTGGCTTCTCACGAATTGTGTAGCAAGCGTCCTCGTAGACAATTGCGCTCCAGAGATGCGGTTCCGGGCCCGGATCAATGACTTTTGGAGGTTCGTGAGTGGTGAGGAAGCGTCGGCACCGGGAAAATAATTCCGCCGGTCGGAGAGCGATAACCATCGTCAACATCGCGACTTCTATTTAGAGCATGTTCACTGCACGCGCAACGCCTGGGAATCATCGACGAGAGATGGGTCGCAACTAAATACTATTCAGAAATGTGAGGAATTTTCTAACAAATATTTAACGGACCTCGCTTGTTCGAGCTAGTCGCCATGACTGGCTCAGACGTGGAGACGGCTGGCGTCAAGCGGCCAGGAATCGATCTTGAAAGCCTCCAGCGCAAGAAGTTCAAAACTTCAGATCTGCCATTATCAGCTGCGCAGCGAACGTCAATCGATGGCCTTCTATATGCGTTTAAGAAGAAGGGTGGTTTTGACTCGGTTCGAAAGAAAATATGGGCGGAATTTAGCGAGAGTGTGAGCAGCAGCCTCCACAGCCCCTTGAGACGCAGCTACCTATATCTATATCATTTGTTGAAGGGTTATTATGTTCTCGACCACTACTAACTCTTACCCATTCTCTTTTACCATAGGAAGCTAAAAATTCTCTTACATCTTCTTTGATCAAAATGGCCGAATCTGAAATTGACCGGGATCCTTCTTTATTGTCAAGGGAGAGAGGAAAAGCGGCAACTCTAATAGAAGGCGCCGTTGATCGAAGTGACCTTTACAAAAGCGTTGAGGGGGCCATTGATGCGATATGTTCTAACCACTTGGACTATATCCTCGACTCCCTTCGCACTATCCGTCGACAAGAAGTTGGCGAAGAAATGGCTGCGCTAGAGGAAGAGAGGGGTAGTAGGGCAGACGAATACTACGAACGTGAAGTCAAGACTAAGCGAAATGAACGAGAAATAGCGTGGCTGAAGGAGCTTGAGAAACAGAAACAACGTGAAATCGAAGAGGCAAAGGCTAGGGCTGAGGAGTTACGGAAACAACGTGAACTTGAGAAACAAAGGGAGGAGGAAGAGCGGAAAAAGAAGCTGGAGTTGGAGGAAAAAAGGCGAGCGGAAAGAGAGAAGATTCGAGAAGAAAGACGTCTTCTAGAAGAGCAGAGGGAAAAGGAGAGGGAGGAACGGTACGAACGAAGAAGGCGGGAGCGAGAGAAGGAAAGAGAAGATGAACGGGAAAGGGATCGAGAGAGTAGAGATCGTGATCGTGACCGTGATCGTGGACGAGATAGGGATCGGGATACCGTGCTCGACCGATCACCTCGACGTTCCCGACAGCGTTCCAGGGCCCCAGAAGAGCCCATCCCTGCAATTGTTGATGAGAAATCGTTGGAGGACGCAGCTCTAGAATTGCTTCTAAAGGAAGGGAAAGAATTAGCGGAGAAATCACGACAGAAACCAGAGTTTGACTTTGAACAGGCCGAAGCCCTTGAGAATGCGCAGCTGCAGCAACCTCAACCTCAGGCGCAAACTCAACCGCAACAACGTTCACGCCAGTCATCAGTCACAGATAGCAAAGCTCTTCGGACAGATCAGACTCGTTCACGAGCCTCCCATTCACGGCTAAAGAACGAGGTGTCTCCTACACCTAAATCTACATCTAAATCTGATACCAAGCTGAGCGACGATCGTCATGATAATGATAGGGATCGGGATCGGGATCGGGATCGTTCAGAGCGAGATCGAGATCGAGATCGAGGCCGTGACCGTGACCGTGACCGTGACCGATATCGAGACGAACGAAGTAGGTCAAGGGCATGGCGCTCCTCACGATACGACGACAGAGATCGTGAAATGGACTTGTACAGGCCTTCGACTCGAAGCAAGCTGGACAGAGATGATCATTCCCGCACTCGCGGAAGAAGCAGGAATCGCAGCAGGAGCCATAGCAGATCTGCTGCGCGAAGCCGCGACAGAGACCGAAATAGAGATCGGGGGAGAGACAGGGACAGAGACAGTGATAGAGGGCGGAGTAGGGAGCGAGATAGGGATGACCGTTGTTACCGTCCGAGGGATTATTCGCGAGGCCGCACCCGGTCTCAGTCAGCCAGGCGACGTCGCCGCTCTCGATCCCGCTCCCACTCCCGCAGCCACAGGGACAGAGATAGGGATAGAGGTCGGGAACGGGATGCAGAGCGGGATAAGTCCTACTCGCGCACAGGCCGGCGATCCCGGTCTCGAAGCCCCCCTGATATTGACCGCTATGTACCTCCTACCAGCAACCGTAGTCGGACGCCGACCAGACGTCGAGCAAGGACGCCAGATCGAGACAGAGACAGGGATAAAGAAGATCGATCAAAACTTCACGAAATTGATAGGATTGATAGGTACATACCGGGAGGATCTGGCACTGCTCCTTCCGTGGCTAGCGACAAGGATGATCGAAGGAGCAGAAGGAGAAGCAGAGCAGATAATATTCTGGTCTAATTTTGGGCCTTTTTTCTATGAACTTTGCCAGTATTAATTTATGATGGCAGTTTGGAGTTTGGAGTGAGGATAGGGTTTCAATAGTTGTGTTCCTGACTACACACGGATATTTCATGTATGGACATTCATATTCCCTAATTGTTTGGGAGGAGAGTATATCGTCACAGCTAGCATTGATGGCATCATAACCGTAGTTGTTCATGAATAATTTCGGGTCATGGGTTACTATCTATCAGATTTCAAGTTTGGGTTACAAGGAACGAGTCGGGAATAGCAGCAAGGCTTTTCTCTGGTTTGAGACCACCAGGTCCTTGATACTGAGCAAGTACAGTACATATTCCGAAATATAATACGCGTGGATTCTAAAACATATAAATGTCGTGAGTTAATTCAAAACGAAGGCGACGAAGGTGGAAATATAATATTTATGGTGGTTTTGATTGTTTGTAGGTTTCTCTAGCAAGGCCGTAAAATCAAGTTATATCTAAGGATATATGGGAAGAACGGAGCGATAGTAGAGGGCAAAAAGTTTCGCTTTACTACCTTGCCATTGTGAAACAGATCATTGACATCGTCCAGAGGGTATAAACGTCCTTGTTCTTCTTCAAAGAGACTGTGTGTAATAGCATGAGGCATAAACTAGACAAAGGAGAACCTCAAGAGGCGACGGGAACAATGAGAAAATGCTCGGTTAGCTCCGAGAATGGCCAACCTGCATAACCGGAATTAATCAGCCGTCTGAATCGTAAAATAGCGTGCGAAGAAAATAAAAAGCGATGAAAGATGAACCAAGTCAGGATAACTGCTTCTGATCGTCGGCTGTGTTAATGTAAACGTCTCGCGGGCTCATGCTATCATGGCCCATTTCTACGTTCGCCGCTGCTCGTAGGGGCCTCGTGCTCCTCCACAGCGGCCTTGTGCTCCTCCATTGCGGCCTCGAAACCCTCATGCTCGTCATGGCGTTTATAGAAATATGATTGGGCTGATAAGGGACGTAGGTCTGGCGAGAGTCGTTGTATAACGGTATCTTCGATGGCTTTGATGGCCTTCAAATTCGAGCCGGACTTGTTCCATATAGAAATTAGGTGGGAGTTAAAGCGCACTGAGGTGGATATTCCGAGGACATGGTCGTGCTCTATCTTTATATTAGTATTGAACTTTTTTGCTTTCTCTTTTTATCTTTGGGATGTATGCTAGTGTAGCCTCCTATGTTTCTATAGACGGTGCGGTAAGGATGACAAGGAAAGAAGGATATCAGGAGGGAGATGATGTTTTCCAACGTACCAGCTTCAAGGGCTGCCTGGAACTCATTAGCCATGCAGAGAATTACGACTTCATGAAAAAACGCCTGGCTCTTGGCCTTTGGCACGCGGAACGTCCAACGGCCGCCTTTTTGGTTCTCTGGATCCTCCCACACGGGTTTTGTACCCTTGCGGAAAATGTGAACAGTGTCTCGCAATTTGACTTTGTGCCAAGGGTAATTATTGTAGACTCTGTAGAAGGTGCCAATGTCGGCAACGTCTTCATGAAGCACATACAGTCTCTCGACGTAGTTTGAGGACTCTGAATGCTTTTCGTACCAGACTGTCCAGTGATACTGCAAAGGTAGTGGCCGGAGCTTTCCTAGGATTTTCTGGTGGAGTGTCTTCCGTGAGCTGCTTCTGTTTTCTGCTGCGGGCTCTAGATCGGGGGTTACAATTTTCGGGTTGTCCATTCTGGGCGAACAGAAGAACAAAGTACCAATCACCGACGGCTTTTCTTTTCTTTTAGTCGTCTAACTTGGCTCCTCTTGCGATGAGATCAAACGAAGTTCTTGTGTATGCGAAAATTAGCAAAAGAGAATAGTCATAATGATGTGGCAGCGGTCAACGGTACCTTCTATCAGGGAACCACAAACGTATTTAACCACAAGCCCGAGGCAGTTTAATGGATCCCCCTTTTAACAGGCAAAACCCGCGCGGAGGTATTTCCCGCGAAACAAAATTTGATCTTCGTTCCCTATGTGAAGCCGTGAAACTCGATATTGTCTCAGCCTTACTCAAAGGACTGAAATATCACGTATAGATGTGGACTGCTAGAGCAATGCTACGCGGTTCGGGGAGAGAGCAGATCCTAGTGTGCTGTAAGCTAAGGGACTATTGATGTATCAAATTTCAAGGAATTCAAATGAGGGTCCCAAATAAATCGGCCCAGGTCAGAGAAGGTACACGAGTTATGAAACTAGTTCAATCAAAGGAAGTGTACAAAACAATGCTCATTGTCAGGTTTGAACAAGGCGGAGATAAAAGAACGGGAGTGCATTCCAGCAAGACATAGGAATACAAAAAGAAATATTTTCTGAAGAAACTAAACCAGGGCAAGAACTACAAATGGAGGATATCGGCAAGTCCCTCGAATCTGTAGAGTTCGTGGCTGAATTATGGGCGAGGTAGTAGCTTCAAAGGAGACAAGAAGGATGTCCCTCTGGAAGATAGTCCTCGTTCTCAGACAACAGCATATTTGCAAGCAAAAGAGCAATTATCGAAGGGGAATGGTTGAAGAGCTGAAGGAGTTTCTGCGGGAGCTTGTTCCATGGCCCAGCCCAACAACACAATCCCTAACCACCAAAGAAAGCTAATATATATTCTGAGGGAGCGACAGCACAAGCAATCTTGAAACGGCACAATAAACAGGAGGCATGTACCTTTCTTAGATTCTATAGCGCCTTGGTGAAGCGGCTAGTAGTTGTTCATCAGCGCGCGCAGGGCGGATGCAGGTAAGTTATAACTCCCCGTACGAACGACGTTCAAACCAGCACGGCGAGAAAAAGCGCAAAGAGACTGATCAATCTCAAGAATGCATCACTGCTGATAATCTTGCCGTTGCAACCAACGTATTTGGCGCTGGGTGCCCGATTCATTCGTGTACATCTCAAGGGCTTTAAAACTGTCCGCGGGGGCCTTTTGGCCGCCAGGATGTGAGCACCGCACGTGATATTTATGTATTTATGCGGGCGCCTAGTGCGGGTGTTTCTGTGATGGGGATTCTCACAGGCGATAAAGGACATTTGAAGAGTAGCTAGCCATTGCAAAAACAACAGCAACAGCAATGGAAACTGACCAGTTTAGCCCATGGACTGTTGATAATTTGCAGCTTTTACAATTAGGGTTAGGGCTTTGACGTTCCGGATCGAGCTTGCACGTGCTTTCTTTTTTCTCCAAAAGCTTGGAAGCTTTTACGGGCTCGAAGCTAAATAAATACATCATCATTCTTCAACTTCATATTAACGATATCTTACCCCAACGCAGGCGAGACCCAGAAGATGATTATTTAGGACCCTCTGCCAATAATGGCTGCCGTCGCCGCCCCACCCACCAAGAAGCGGTGCCTCGAAGATGATGAGGATACCCCTTCTCCCGAGCTGGGATCCCAGCCAAAAAGATCCAAGCTCCAGGTAGATTCTACAAGCTGTAGTTCCGCGAGCGATAGCTCGAGCAGCGAATCTAGCTACGACAGCGACAGTTGCAGTGACCAGGGTGACGATGCGCCTGTACCTCGACCATTAACGCATCGTTATCGCGCACCCAAGGAGCAACTAGACGATGACGAGACATCCTCGAGCGGTGAATCTGAATCGTCAATGTCCTGTTCCTCTTCCTCTTCATCATCATCGTCGTCCGGCAGCGAGTCGGAATTAGAAAGCAACCACACTCCTACCGTATCTAACGCTAGCGACGTCGTTTCCATCCCACACCTCCGACCGCACTCCAAACCGTCAATACGACTTCATAGTTCCACGCTACGAAATCGACTGGCTTCCTTCCTTCCCGAATTGAGAGCTGCAAACGAAAATTTAGAACAAGAGATAGCTGCCGGAAATGTAGCTGGCGTGGAGCTTGATGATAGTGGCGAGACTGAAGTTGACGGGCAATATATTGAAATGGTACGATTTCTTCCTTCTATCCGCAGGAACATTTCATGATACTCATAGACACCCCGCATACGGAGCTTTTACTTGGAGTACAACTAACGGTTTTCTCCCCTTTTAGAACCTTGGCCTGGGCGTGCTAGAAGAACAAAGCGATGCCGCTGATTCTGATACAAGCACGGACAACGAAAGCGCCATATCCCACGATGAAGACGAGAGCACAAAATCTGCGAGTACCTCGCAACCAAAACCACGCAATAATACCAATGTAATGAACAAGCTCATGGGGAAGAAACCCGAAATCAAACGACCAACCATAGAAGAGATCACGCCCTGAATATATCCTCCTACGCTTACCTTCACGGACGGAACCCTTCTATGGTCTGTTCGCATCGATATCTGGCATGTACTATATTTTGGCGCTTTTTTATATATTTTTCTCTTCTTCTTGACCTAAGGTTGTAGACGGGACAACCATATACGCGTAAATATTTCTGTTATTTTAAGTTACTGTTAAACTCGGATTTCCTTTTATACCCCTTGTTTTCTAATGTCCGACGACATGTTTTGCAGTCTAGACTCTAATTATTATTTCTTGAACACGTTCTGTCTCACGATTGATGTACGTATACCTTTTAACGGACCTCCACCTTCTCAAAACGTGGGCAATTTATTCTACCAATGGATGGTATTTTTTCTGGTCATTGGCCGCAAACCCCCATGTGCGCTTCTCGAATCGATTCTACTATTCATATTGACAGTGGTCTGATTCAATCGCTGTTTTGAATTAGGCTCTACAACCCCCGAGTCGACTCTCCTAGCATCGGATATTGGATATCACTGCTGAAAAACGTCGATGAACCTAATGGATAGTGTTGCGTGGAACTCGAAAGGGCCACTTCCTGCAAGCTACAGGTGAAAAATAAATGGGCAAAAATGAACACTTCGAGGTTTTAGCTCTTTCTTCCACGAGAAATAAAACATACATATGATAATAAGAAAAATCTCCCCGACAGGGAATCGAACCCTGGTCTCCCGCGCTCGTCAGTCGTGAGACAGAATGACAAGCGGAAATCATCACCACTAGACCATCGAGGATTGATTGGACGAACAGAGACTTCTGATTCGGAAGCTAATACAGCAGCCTAAAGTGACATTTTGAGTCAATTGGATATTTTAGCTGAGATTCTGACAGATAAATACTGACTATATCATAGATAGTATTAAATATTAAATAATAACTACCAATTACAGAGTAGTTACAGTAGAACTATTTAATTGGTGTGTGTCTATAATGAGTATTATGTGGAATTAAGTTTTTACACAGTGACATTCATAATAGGCTGCTGTAGCTATAAATAATGTAGGGTTGGGGACCAGCAACTAGCTTGCTGGAGCAATTTTGAGTCTCATGAACAATATAATAAATATATAGAAAGATTCAGGCTCGTGCTATCCGGGATAATTACCCTTTCCCCATTGAAGCGCTCATTGGCCTAGCGGAACCCGCTACCCTGTCTATCACGCATCTTCAACAGCAAGGGTAGTTATATCAAGATGTACACCTCAGTGTCCATCCCTTCATTTCCTATTGATTTCGCCTGAAGGCGGGATATACATGAAAACCGAGGTCATATTTTTCTTAATATGAGTCACTCGCTAGTCACGGCTGCGTCTTTTGAGCCTTTAACATGTCCGATCTGCGTTCCAGTGCTCTCAAACCACACCGGCAACCTCAGCCTAATCAACGAAAATACCAACTAGATCGACGCCCTGAGGTCCTTGAAGGCATCAACGCTCCCTCCAAGGTATCGTTCCTCTGCTGTTTTCCAATTAATGACGGCCCAGATGTTCTTGACATAGGCTGCCTTCCCATTCAGATACTAAATGGCATCACAGAATAGATTCAACGTCAGACATAAGAGATGGAACAAACCAAAAAGTAATAAACGAATGAGATGATGTGATCCCAAAGCCAGTCCTCACCTGCAAGTAATACGCATGTTCCCACATGTCTATCCCAAAGATAGGCACCTCATCCTTCGCGACGATATCCTGGTCATGTGTTGTGACGATAGCCAACGGCCCCTGGGTTCCCTGGCGAACCAACCAAGCCCATCCACTCCCTCGAATTCCCAGCAACGCCTCACTGAATTTCTGCCGGAATACACCATCATCTTCTCCCCACCGCTGCCGAATTGCCTCCCATAGCTTCGGCGCCGCGTCGACCTTGGTTTCAGGGGCTCCCAAAGGGGCCAGGTTGGCCCAGAAGAGCGAGTGATTGATGTGTCCACCGGCGTTGAAACTGATTATAGCGTGCAGATTAACCTGATCGCGAATGTTTCCTGCCTTTATCGCCTCCATCTGGTCTTGAAGCGCTTTGTTGAGGTTTGCCACGTAGGTGTTATGGTGCTTGGCATGGTGAAGTTCCATTATTTGCGTGGAAATGACGGGCTCGAGAGCCTAGTATCGAGAAGTTTTTTTTTTTTTTTTTGATATCCCGAGTTTAGCCCTACCGCAGATGCTGCCGCAAGGCGGGAAGGGGCAAAAAAGTTCTTTACTTACATCGTAGGCAAAAGGGAGGGGTGGAAGAGAATATGTCTGGGCCATGGTTGAGACCAGGGGTGAAATGTGTAGAAAATGGGTTATAGGGTTGTTTGTGCGTGAGATATACTGAGAAATGGGGCATACAGACGTTTATGGAATGGGAAACAGATGATATTATCTACGCAGAATCTCAATCAATATACTCCGTACTGTTAGAGAGGTTTCTCCATTCAGCGAGTTAATTTGCTCACTGTGTGCCTGATCTAAGATAAAGTTCAGAAATGTGCTCAAACCCCCTTAACGCATCTTAAATAGTCTACCATGGTACTCATACATCAAGAGTCAAAGTGGAGATATACAGAACATCCTTTTGCAGATCCAGCACGCCAGGGAAAGGGCGGAGGGCGGAGGGCGGAGGGCGGAGGCGGAGGCGGAGGCGTTGATATGTGATATATACAGACAGACAGGAATGTAATCATCCCCCTTTCTCTCTCGCAATCAACGATAGCTACATGAAATCTCTCTCCCTCTTATTTATACGCTTCCCTTTCATTCGACCCTCATCTCATTACCTCAAACATAACTACGAATATCCGCCATTAGACGGCGCTGCATAAGAATATGTGCAACGGGTTTTCCTCGAGAACCAGCCAGGGAGGAGCCACAGCCTTCCTTCGACCCCTAATCACGGAAGCAGACGAAACAGCAAGCAACAGTGTCCTATTCGACTACCAGGTCACTCTCCGTGAACACCACACTGCTGAAAGGGAGGCGATTCACTTCTATATCAATAGGCCAACGGGCGAACAGGCAGAACAAAGGCAGATCCAACCCTTTCCGGTAGAGACTTTTAGAGCCTACTGGGTTGAAATACAGTATGTCTTCATTATCACATACCATATAGCCTCCCTTCCCCATTTCCCCCCTCCTTGGGCAGAGCAAGTCAGGACAGGGCAAGACATCACCCCAACATTAATATTCCCCTCCTTCCCAGTCCCGACGGCGACCTAACACCCTCTGAATCCCGAGACGCACTCCCGCCCCTCCACCGCTTCCCACTCCAGAATCTAACGCGGCCGGAAGATCTTGAGGCCTCACCCACAGCTCTAGCCAGTATGAAACTCATAACTGGTCAGAAGAAGATGGGTGGCAACTCGACGGTACGGAAGTTGCGACTTGATACGTGCGAGATGGGGGTGATTGGGCGGCGGATGTTGATTGTTAATGCGACAGGGGTGAGAGTTGCGGAGGGCGTTATTGGGTGGAATTGATGTTTATTGAGTGCATAAGGTTGATATCCAGAGGTCAGGTTTTGGGAGGAAGTAGTGGAGCCATGAGCAAATATGCGCATGTTGACAAGGGAGTTCACCAGGCGTTGGCGGCGTTGGCGGCGTTTTTTTATGCGGTTTGCCTTGGAAGATTTTGTTCCTACTTCTATCTTTACTCGTCATTAAATATTAACTACCTTATTTTCTACTCAATTTTCTCAACGGGGTCGAGAGAAATGGCAATTTCTTTTCTATTTGAATGCAGGTTGAAGCTTAGGAAATTTAATAGAATGGGACTCTAGATTTCTGCCTTGAGTTTTTGGTTGCCTGAATACAATAGGATACTCGCCCCTCCCAGGAGCGCATGTCATTTTGTTTAGGAACCAGGTCAATCTCAATCTAAGTCTTCAAGGCCGCTGCTCTTAACCTAGAGGCAGTATGATGGCATTTATGGCTTCTTTGCAATTTTTAGGCAAATGGATATATTTTGATATAACTATTCCAAGGTTTGGTTTAGATAAGGTTGCGCGGTCATCATGGATAGTTACCCATAGCGTGAAGCTTAGCGGTTCTAACCTAGGGATGCATCTTGAGATCAGTCCAAGACTGAGGGGGGAAAGGGGGATCGCTAGCTATCCTCTTCCTCACTCAGGCAAGCTGTGTAAAGCTTCCAGTGGGGCTTCGTGAGCTGTGGCAGGTAATTCCATCGTAGACTCATTGATTCATCAAAACACCATCAGCCCCATAAAAGAAATGGTAAAAGCAGATGCACTTAATGAATAGTCCGCCGCCTCTGCCCCTTTAACGCCTAAACTTTGTGACAAGGCAACCCACGAGCCGACGCACAGCAACGTACGGAACACAAGTCCATCTGCGTTATCACCAAATGCTCGACCTAGTCCCTGCTCAACTACATTGTAGCCGACAAAACATAGGTTTTAAACAGCATCACGAGTCAGCAGCTTTTCAAACATGCGATGCAGGGGCCCCTTTTCTGGCTACTTTATTGGTGCCAGGAACGCATTCTCCTCCGGTAAAATCTCATCAGTAATGTACGGCCGAACCGCCTCGCGCAGGATCCATTTCTCTGTTATCGACTGCAGTGCTGACCCGGCGTTCTTCCAGATTGCGTCGTCCTGCTGAGTATCCGCCGTCATTTGTTGTGCGGTATAGGCGACTTTGACGCTTGGAGGAAGCCTGTTCACATAGTCCGTGAGATGGTGATCCAAGAACGGTGTGCGTCCCTCAACACTGTGGGCCATTTCGAGGCGGTCGCCCAGATCCGAAAGAATGTAGTTGGATAGGGCGCTATTGTTCCACATGTATAGGTATGTGTGCAGTGGATGCCAGGTTGATCGCATCTTGGCCCGGACTTCACATGAGTGCGACATCATTAACGCCTTGTAGAAATCGTACTCTTGATTACTGTCGCGTATCCATGATGCGAAAACCTTTGTGGATGGTTGTGCGACCCAGGATAATATCATGGGCATTGAACAGCAATTGGCGTCAGCAAGAAAGCGATTATCTCCGTTTTTGTCATTCTTGGCCGCTCCGTGATTGCGGGAAATATTGCTCATCTCATCAACCACTTTCTTTAGCAGCTGCTGGCGGACCTCGTCCGACGAGGGTTTAGAGTTCGGCTGAGATAGGTCCGGCTCTAGCAGGAGGTCCTGTAGGAAGTATGCGTATCCCGCAGAGTGTTCGTCAGCTCCCTCACCTGTTATTACGACCTTGATCCCATTCTCTTGCGGAAGCGTCGATAGTGCAAACTTCGCCACAAAGTTTAGATCGTTGTTGTGGTGTTCACAACGATATGCTGCGTCGGTGAAATTATCCGCTAGAATGGCCTCGTCAACAACCTTCTTAATTGTTTCGACACCCAACCATTTGGCTGTCCTATCGGCGATACCTGTAAAACGTGATGTTAGTTATTGATGATAAGTAGTCTAATGTTCAACACTACTCCTATACCTAACTCATCATAGCCCGAATTTCCTAGAAACTGAACACTAAAGCATTCCACTCTCGTTGTTGCTTGGCTGCCAATCTTGATGTGTTCCTTTCTCGCAAGTTGGGTTACAATTCCTGCAATGGCAGACGAATCGATACCACCTGACAGATATATGCCAACAGGAACGTCAGCGTGGAGTCGCAGCCGGACTGCTTCGATGAGTCGCTCGCGGACTCCAATTGCCATTTCATCAATGCTCCGAGTGTCAGGTTTTGTCTACTCTGCCGTTAGCTTCGTCACAGGCCATTATGGACTAGGAAAGATACCTTACCTTATCTTCATAATCCGAATCCCAGTATCTTTGTAATTCAAGCCCCTTCTTGGAGATTTCAAGCCATTGGCCTGGCAATACCTTTTTCACGCCCTTGAACTGTATTCTGTCGTCAACCGTCCAACCGCGTTCCAGTATTGCCCCAACATCCCACTCTGGCTTCCAACCCAAAGGCAGAAATGCTTTTGCCTCCGCTGCTAGTAATACCCTATCCCCAACAGTCGTCCAAAACAGAGGCTTAATACCAAACCTATCTCTCTCCCAGCAATCACCATTTTGCATCCATCGCGGCTATCATAAAGAATAAATGCAAATTCGCCTCGCAGGTGTTTAAAGAACTCCGGGCATCCGTGTATTTTGTAGACAGCTAACACGAGCTCGCTATCGCTTTCGCCATGGAATTTGTAGCCGTGAACGACAGCAGAGACGCCCCGCAGCCGGTCGTAATCATAGATCTCGCCATTGACGACGGTGTGAATTTGCCCATCATCGCTTGAAAGAGGTTGCGAACCGCTGGGGGAGAGGTCGTTGATGGCAAGACGGCAATGACCAAGGCCAATACTGCCATCCGGACTGACCCAGATGCCAGATCCATCTGGTCCGCGGTGCTTTATTTTCTCAAGAGAGGCTTAAAGTTTGTAGGTTAGGGACTCATCAGGGGCTGCTTCAGGGCTGCCATGAGTACCCCCGCGTACATGGTCTAGACGCAGGGCAATGCTCCCCGTTATGCCGCACATTTTGAAAATTTCTGAGGAATATTGTTTTGTAGAAAATTTTTGACTTAATGGACAAGATTGAGTGAAGTTAGAAACCTTTCCATAAGGTAGGCCCTTATATATATAGCCCCAAACGCCAACTTCGCAACATTGCTTGATGCTGCTAGGCCGCTTTCTAATCTCAGGTAATAACAATGATTCTTCTGGCTGTAGACACCTTTAAACCATCCGCACCAAAGATCTTCATCATTTTTCTTGATTGGGAGGTTCGACCTAGAGCATAGTAAACCGAAGGGACCAGGAAGCTTTTCAAATCTCTTGATGTTGGGAGCTTGCAAAATCAAGCTGTCCAGACTGCCTTCCTCCGTGTAGTATTTTTGCGTCTGATCTTTCAGCTCTTTCAGCTCTTTCAGCTCACCCGTGTTTCTCAAAAACGTACGGAGTATCTGAAGAAGACACATCTGTGGTGCGGCTGAGCTCGGTAATTTTGCACGCCCACATACTGAATACCCGGTTTGCTCTGCACGGATGTCCACAAGCCCATTTTCTGTAGATTTCCCCTGCCACTTCCACTTCTAGGTAATTTTTCAGTAGTTTGAATATCTTATTTCCGGTTAGCGGGATTTCGGTGTTGAACAACTCCATATCTCCCCTTTGAGCGCTATCAGGCGTTGGATAATCATGGAAATGCCCGTTTTCAGGTTGTTTATTTTCCACGGGGACATTTGGGAGGGGAGATGGCGTGTTTCGTCATACAGCACGATGAGAGGATCGACAAGCCACAAAGGGTCCTCCTGGAAGAAGTGGCAGACATGATCCTGGAAGGGCCAATGAAAGAGGGGCAATAAAATGTTATTTTAATAAAAACGACCAGGGAAGGCGGGATAAGGGGGCATAGATACCGGCACAGGGGAACAAATGACAAATGCAACAAGGAGGATTTTCGAACATTAAAATATTACATAAATTATTAGTCCGGCAGGGAGAATTCCTCTAGTTACCTTGTAAAAGGCAAAAGAGGGATATGTATAGGTGTATACATATATGTCCATATAGATACAGCCAACAGATATCCGAAGTGATCAAAACTCTGTGTAAATATACATGCAAAGTGTAAAGATACGGGAGGCGAAACAAAAAAGTAAGGGAAAAAAAGAAAAAGAAAAAGAAAAAGAAAGCGAAGGCTAACGGGAAGTGGGATTAAAGGAAAAAAGAATGGTTGAAGCCCAGCAAACAACCCGAGTATCGCAACAGGGTGTGTAAGTCGACAAAATTAACAGGCATAAATTCATTTCCCAGCAAGCAAAGAGAGAAACATGACACGGCAATAGGAAGGGAAACAAGGATGTTCTTCTTCATTATGTCACGAAGATTGAGCGAGTAGTGTGAGCAACTATAGCATCATATATATATGACTACTCTATTATGGGGCGGGGCGGGGTTGAGTTGGGGGACAAGAAAAGAGCAAAAGTCATTAATTAAACCACATAACAAAATCTATATCTATTAACGGTGAAATTTATGCGACCTGTTTGATGCGACATTGCCAGCCTGATTCCTTGTTCAGAAGAGGTAAACTGTTTGATTGTGTTAGCCTGTACTTTCTTTCGTAGTAAATATAAATTGGGGTTTATGGGAGACAAGAAAAATGGAAGTAAAAGATAAGATATTGCGTACCTGGCACCCAAGCACCAGCCAAGTTCGTTGCCGTTGATTTGTTTCGCAATTTTAACTTGGCGATTAAGCGGGAGATCGTATCCAGTGTGTAAGAGAGATAGCATGAAGGAAAGATCCAAGCAGTGCTCTGGACGTTCTTCAAGCTCATTGATGGCATCGCGAATCCCTTCGAAGACGCCCCAGCTACCATGGCCTGCGCAGACTGCAGCTGTCAAATCCTGCAAGTCGCGGAGAGTAAACGACTCCGGCATACCGAGCGGAGCTGTGCGGTCATAGAAATATGACATGATGAACAGGTCCTCGTTTGCAAAAGTCTTTTGGAGCTGGGGTTGATGGGCGCCGTTAAAGGAACAGGGGGCCAACTTGCACTCTGCATCCTTCTTGAGAATCTTGTCCGCGATTCCTCGGCATTGGGCGGCAGAGGATATGTCTTGCGGGCCGGTCATCTTGACTTCAACAACCTCACCGAGTGGATGTCCATCCCCCATTGTTACGTTCACGGTGAGCGACGTTCCAGCGCTCAGGCATGGGTTGACTAATGGCTTGGAGAGCCATTGTTGGTCAGATGGGCTAGATTGGTGTTTGGTCTCCACAATCGCTTTGTGGATGGTGTCTCTTGCTTTCATGAGCCCGTAGCCAAGGTGGGAGTGCTGGTATAGGTCGAAGTTCCGGCCTCCAAAATCCAAGGAGAATTTATGGTCACCTTCAGCCAATTTCTCCGTTGCTCCACCTACACTGTTGAACGTGGGCTCGAAAACAATTTGGGTTGAACCTCCTCCAAGATCGAAAACTGCGGCAGTAGGGAGGCGCTCCTTGGTACCGATATTTCCAAGCAGGTAGTTGGTGGTGATCCAGGCGTATACTCCTTCATATTTACCATCCATGATTTCAACACCGCCCTTTTCCTTTGAGACGACAGGGAATGGATAAACAGTTTCCAAGCGAGTTCTCACCGCATCTAAAATTCTATCGCTGGTTTCCTGACCCAGGAATCTCAAGCCCGCTGTGGCCTTTACTGCCACTGGAGAGCACGATTGGTATTCCTCCGGCACTGAATTCAGGGCAAGTTCCATCAGAGGATCCAAGCTTCTTGCGGCTGCCTCAGGATCCTCAGCGTAGGAGCTTAGTCCAGCACCGCCCTTCCTCTTCTCTGTCATCTTGAAATCCTCATGTTCGAGTTCAGGCGTGGGCCCGCAATTGTTGAAACGGTACACGTGGATTCGAGAGCCAGTGCTTCCAGCATCAATCATCAACGCATATTGAATCAAGGGCTTCGAGGAGTCATGTGGCTTCGTGCATTTTGAGGCAGATACGGGGGCCTTGATCGAGCCCGGGGACGATTGACCGCCTGGGAGGAGTACGTAGAGAAACAATAATAAGATAGCAATTATCCCCCCTGTCTTAATATACCTCGTTCGCTGGCTTTGCGTCATCGTAGCAACTGTGAATGTATCCCGGAAACTAAATTTCTTGAAGCTGCGCTGAGGATCTCCAGAATGCCTGCCCGGCTTTTCAAATGGATCGCGGATAGATTTTGCTGGGAGGGAGACGGATCGACGCCGAGGATTCGAGCCAAAAGGCAAATATGACCAAATTCCAACACGAGAACGAGCGTGTACCCCAGTTGACATGCGAGCGAATGCAAATATTAACTAACACACGAAAAATAGTCCGTAACAAGGGGGAAAGCAGTTTGAGACATGCAGAGGCAAGACAAGGATAATTAAAGAGTGGGAGCACCGAAGGGGATCATAGATTCTAGCTAATCGCAAGTACTCCACCTGGTGGACTGTTGGGCTAGACGAATGAGCACCAGACAGTGGTTGACTTGAAACACCTAGGACCTGGGCGATATAGGGGGTTGAAAGGGAGCAGAAAAGAGTCGAGGACAGATGCCAAGTTAACTTCCCGCGTAATTTTTTTATAGCATGTGGCGCAGTCTAGCCATCCAGGTGTGGCTGACCAAAAATTTCCCTTGTCAGGAACCTGGGAATGGAAACTGAGAACCTCTTCTAAGTATTATATTTAATAACAAACCATCTTTACCATTTACCATTCGTACGGTCTTATGGCAACATTCGAGCTGTTTTTGATTTGAAATAGCGGTCCTGCAAGGTAAATAGGTGTTTCTTCTGTTTCGCTTCCTTAAGTCGTTGGTACTGATAAATATTAGGTCTGCGGCAGGTTCTGGTTGCAATTGCGCTTTCGCCCTCGCAAATAAATCCAGGAGGGAGGGCACGGATTGTAATAGGTACATGTAGCTGCCTCTAAGATATGGCAGCACCAGTGAATCATGTCCGCGGTCTCGTCGGAACCGCCCAAAACCTCCGCCAAATATTCCTACAGTTAGCAGATTCACAAGCAGCCCGGTTCGCTGAGCGTCAGATCACGCGAAGACAGATAAGATGTTATCGTTTCCAACCCGTTCGGCAGCAACAACCTATGGCTCCGCGCGCAGAACCCCAGATAATGAGACGACCCCAACCTCGGCCAGCAAATCTCCAGCAGAAATACGGACCACAGAAAGATGCAAATGACAGTAGGGACCACAACGGCCTTATAAAGGACGAGGCCATTCCCGCGCGGAGGGTCCAGATAGTGAACGAAGACGGGTCACTTGGGGATCCAATTCCCTTGGGGGCTGCCTTACATACGTTTGACCGCTATGTAAACATTCTTCTCCAGGTTGCTCCCGAAACCGCCGAACGCCCCGCTATATGCAAAATCACGAGCAAGGGGGTATTGCAGCAAAAACTACAAGCAAAATCAAAAGCACCTAAAGACCCTAGCCGCGCGTTAAAACAGGTCGAGCTCAACTGGGGTATCGATGGCCATGACCTCTCACATCGAATGAAAATGGTGGAGTCATATTTCGAGAAAGGGAAGAAGGTGGAATTCATATTGCTGCAGAAGGATAAGAGGAAGAAGACACTGCCTACACCGGACAAAGCCCGAGAACTGGTTAAAACGGTAAAAGAGCAGATTGCAGAGATGGGCGCCGTGGAGACTAAGAAGATGGAAGGGACATTACTGGGCCGACTCACTATATATGCTGAAAAGCCGAAGAAGCCATGACATCCTGGTGAAGAGAGTTCTTGTATTATATTATATCACAGACATGAAGGACTTATATGCCCAAGAATGGCTGGACCTGATTGATTGATCTGTACCATGAATGATATATCCCAAATTAGACATATTTTTAATTCTTCAGCTATTTTGAACAAACAAGCCTAATTTTCAAATTGTAACCCTATGTACTCGAGATATCCATCATTATAGTTCCTCTCCTCTTTCTGGCCTTGTATTAGACGTGGGCAGGGCATGCATAGTTCATGCAGTGTCTTGCAACTAATTCATGGAAACTCCGAGCTGAGGCGCCAATTGATGACTAAGCATTGTCCCTGAAAAACTTTTGGCGTCGAATTTTGAGACGAGAAAAATATCTCGACAAGGACGAGTTAATCTGCATTCATCACCTCTTGTCAATTCCACCAACTCCTCTGCACCAAAGGACTGCCAAGGACTGTCAAGATGGCTAATATTTCCAGATCTGTTAACGCCCTGCTGCGGACTGGCAGACTTGCTCTGCAAAGACCCAGAGGAGCCAACCCCATTCAACATGCTCTTCTTCGGGACCGCCGCATGGCTTTTAGAGGAATGGCAACAGTCTTCGAGAGATCGAAGCCTCACGTCAATGTTGGTAAGTAGGACCACGTTTCTTCTGGCTCTTATCATGGATCTTTCATTTATATTCTAATGTTGCATCTTAGGTACCATTGGCCACGTCGATCACGGGAAGGTTAGCTAGCCCTTACATTCTTGTCCTAAATTTCTTTTCGTCTGTCAATTATATCGCGATTCTAACCCGGACTTGCTATTTTTTGATTAAAAGACTACCTTGACTGCTGCTATTACCAAACGCCAGTCCGAGAAGGGACTGGCCAGCTTCCTGGACTATGGAGCTATTGACAGAGCTCCCGAGGAGCGGAAGCGTGGTATCACCATTTCCACCTCCCATATCGAGTATTCGACCGAAAAAAGACATTACGCACACGTCGATTGCCCTGGTCACGCTGATTATATCAAGAACATGATTACGGGTGCTGCAAACATGGATGGTGCTATTGTCGTTGTTGCTGCTTCTGACGGTCAAATGTAGGACGCCACAGGACCGATGGAGAAAAAAATTATCCCCCCATTTTCAAGAGCATGATTATACTAATATGAGAACGTATCCATCAGGCCTCAAACACGTGAGCATTTACTCCTTGCCCGACAAGTTGGCGTCCAAAAGATCGTCGTTTTCGTGAACAAAGTCGATGCTCTCGAGGACAAGGAGATGTTGGAGCTTGTCGAGTTGGAGATGAGAGAGCTCTTGAACACCTATGGATTCGAGGGCGAGGAGACGCCCATCATCTTTGGTTCTGCCCTTTGCGCCATGGAAGGCCGTGAGCCCGAATTGGGAGAGAAGCGAATTGATGAGCTGATGGACGCTGTTGATACCTGGATCCCCACTCCTCAGCGTGACACCGAGAAACCCTTCCTGATGTCCGTTGAGGAAGTGTTCTCCATCTCCGGACGTGGAACCGTTGCCTCCGGCCGTGTTGAACGTGGTGTCCTCAAGAAGGATTCGGAAGTTGAGGTTGTTGGCGGCGGTGTCGCCCCCATCCGGACCAAAGTAACTGATATCGAAACCTTCAAGAAGTCCTGCGACGAGTCCAGAGCTGGAGACAACTCTGGCCTTTTGTTGCGTGGTATTAGGCGCGAGGATATCCGCCGTGGTATGGTCGTTGCCCTTCCTGGCACTGTCAAGGCCAACGACAAGTTCTTGGTGTCGATGTATGTCCTGACCGAGGCTGAGGGTGGTCGCCGAACTGGATTTGGCCAAAACTATCGTCCTCAAATGTTCATCCGCACAGCCGGTACGTTAAGATGAAAACATATCCCCTCTTCGTATTGAAATATTCTTTTCTTTTTTTTTAAAAAAATTTTTTTTTTTTGCACGCGGGCATGATCCACGTGACTAATTTCTTTGATTCCAGACGAGGCTGCCAACCTCAGCTTCCCTGAGGGTGTGGACGAAAGCAAGCTGGTTATGCCCGGTGACAACGTGGAGATGATCCTCAAGACACACCGCCCCGTAGCTGCTGAGGCCGGGCAGCGATTCAATATCCGCGAGGGAGGCCGCACTGTCGCTACTGGTCTTGTCACCCGTGTCCTTGAGGAATAGAGCAACTAATAAACCTGCCGGACAATAGCCATTTGGTTAGTATCATGTACTTTTTAACAATAAATGCGTGTGTAAAGCGGGAATTCTTTGCGGGGACAAAATGGAAAGGCGGGCCGGCAAAAAGCTTAACATATATCTGGAGTCTACCTGTGTATATTTTTCATGGCATTTTATATTCTCCTTCTTCTCTCTTTGCTTCTCTATTCATTCCGTGTTTTTATTAGGTGCTCTTTTGTATTTTGTTGTTTATTTTTCATTTTTTATGGTTTTTATTTTCATTTCTCCCAAGTGATTTTCCCATTTTTAAAAATTTCCCTAATGTAACAACAAAGATGCAGCCTCTCTCGACTCCCTCAATCTAGACCTGTCTTAAGAGTAATATAACTCTCCTTGCTCTTATTCCTTGCTTCAAGAGTTTCATTTCCATCGAACCAGGATTTCACACAACATTCAGCCCAATTTAGTGGTCGGCCGCAGGAACAAGTATTCATATATTTATTAACCACTCCTCTGCCGAAGTATATGTATCCCTCCTGTAAAAGTTTCCCACGGGGCCCGCGGTCGATTCAGAACTCTAGATAGCATTCCTAGAGCCAAGCTCTGATTGCAAACCGGGCTTGTTCCTCCTGATGAAATACCTGTGTACTCCGTCACTTACACAAGTAGCAAGGTAGCCAGCCAATTGAGTTTGAATAGTAATACTGCGTAATAATAAACTACTATTTTCTCCCCAAATGTCCGAGCACACGTATCAGAACCATGGTATTTCACAACCGCCGTCGCGCAGGCTAACAGATTTAGACCTCCGGGCGATTTGGAATTAAATAACCAGCCAAAGCCGCAGGCCAAGCTTCGACGGACCTGGTTTGCGCAAACCCTCATTGGGCAGACTGTGGCAAAAGGCTTCCTAATCGTTGCGTCTTCCCAGGACAAGGACGTCAAATAACACTCCAGCTTCCAGCGGCTTGCTTGTCTTGTCCCCATCCCATCCCGAAAAGCCATGATTGATGATTGATCTTCTCCATCTGTGGAATACAGACTACAGGCAGATAATAAATAATAATAATAATAATAATAATAATCAAAAGATTTGTCACTGATGTCAGCTACCCTGCAGAAGACGGCGGCTGCTGCTTCTTCCTCGCCCTCGCCCAACCCTTACTATCATGACACGCTCGACTCGCTGTGGACAAAAACTAAGGAGAAGCTCCACATATCGAGGAAGCAAGCTGTTGATGAGGAGAATAATCAAGGTGAGCCAGAGAGAAAAGGAAGCTCAGCTCTGTTTGGGTTGACGGGTGTGCGCGTGGGGCGATTGATTGATATGACATTTTTCTTCCCTTTGTCTTATATTGCTGTTTTGCTTATTTATGCTCAGATTGGTTGCATCCCCATGTTTATTTTTTTGTTTTTCTTTTGGTTTCGGTGTAAGTGAGAATCATTCTCGGCCCTATTAACATGTGTGTCAACATGGGAGTTTGATTCCATATGCATCCCCCGCCACTAGAGAGAGCGTTCATGCCGTTGCGCTGATCACATATATTTGCCCATATGTGGACGTTTTTTGTTTCGTCTATTCTAGTTCCCTAAAGTGGTGATCGGAGCTGCATATTTTGAGTTCTGCAACCTCGCATACTCTTTTTTTTTCTTTTCTTCTTCTTTTGTTTTTTTGTTGAATGCCCGAAAATTACAATTCCGTCTATTTACTGAATTGTTACAAAAGCAGAAGCAGAGGGCGCCGGTGTGGATTACGACACGTTAAAGTCCGCTCACGCTCGAAGGAGAGAACAGGTGAGACGGGCGCAACGGTAAGTTCTCAACCCGACCACATATATCCCTGTCTTCTATGTTACATTTATATACGCTTCTATACCTCGCTTTCGGCGTTGGAGGTCAATACGCCGGGAAGGCTGACAGTACGTACGACATCCAGCAATCATCGCGAACGAAAAGAAAAATATATAAAGTCCCTTGAGCAGGAGCTTAGCCGGCTTCGGGATGAATCATCATCTATCCAGACCGAGACGTATCAGGTAGCTGAGGAAAACAGCATCCTTAGAGACATCATGCTCGCGCATGGGATAGCCCTTCCTGGTACCGGTATCTCTCACAGCAGACCACAAGACCAGTGGCTATACAATAACCCGATGGCCACCGTCTCCGTCATTGGCAGCCCGGGGTTCGGGCAGCGGCTGGAGGTATCTCTCGGTGGTGCGCCTGTTGAACGAGTCTTTCCGCCCGGCTTCGGCATCCCGGAGAGTCCGCCGGAGGGAAAGTCGCAACTTTCGGTAGTAGATCATTCGAAGCGTGGCATGGTTCCCAAAGACGGCGCCCAGCCCCAGCCATCTCTATCACCACCCGCAGGGTTCAACGGGTCAGATCGTCTCGCTTCTACTCGACTACCTTCGCAGCCACTCCAAACACCTAGGCATCCATATGGTCTTGATTCAACCCAAGTAGGCGTGGATTTCGTGCTATTGTATGTGTTGCCCCCCACCCCCCGCCCCCTTCTACTCAGGTTACTCTTTGTCCTTTTCGATAGTTAACCATAAATTTACCCAAAATCCTAATAGCATGGAACGCTGCTGCATCTACCATGTCCACCAACCTCAAGACCGGGAAGAACCGCACGGACACGCCATGACCGCCCTAGCACCCGTTCTCAACCAAGCTCCACAGAGCTTAGACGACTGCACCACCTGGCAGATTCCCTCATGTGAACTCGACAGACTGCTCGAGCTGTCTTCAGCCCTCGAGCTGGATGGCGAGCTCACGCCGGTTCAGATGTGGGCGCGGATTAAACAGCATCCATTATTCCATAAGCTCGACCCGGAAGGACTCCGGAAATTGAGCAATGCTTTGGTGGCTGGGGTACAGTGTTTTGGGTATGTTTCTTTCCCCCCCTTATCTCATAGATCAGAGAGGCATCACATGTGATGTTTGATGATCGTGAAAAGTGTCCGCTGCTGACATAGTCTCTTGCAGTTTTGGCGCAACTTTTGAAGAGCAATTTTTTACAAAGACTGTTGATGAGTTCTTAGGCGCTCTTAAG